GCATTCCCTTTCCACCCCTCCGCACACACGTCGCCACCAAACGCTCGTCCTCCACCCTCCCGCCTTCCTCCACCCTCAAAACCCCCCCTTCCCCCTTCCAGGACCGCGTGCCCGCGTTCTCCGGGGACAAGGCGCGCGCAATGATAGAGGCGGAGCTGGGGCAGCCGCTGGGGGAGCTGTTCCGCGAGTTTGAGGAGACGCCGATCGCGGCGGCGTCGCTGGGGCAGGTGCACCGCGCGGTGCTGCACTCGGGCGAGGTGGTCGTGGTGAAGGTGCAGCGCCCCGCGCTCAAACAGCTCTTCGACATCGACCTCGGTGTGTACGGGCGCTGCTGGGGCTGCTGTGCTGTTCTGTGCTGTGCTGTGACGGGGTGGCATGGCGTGGTGTGGGTGTTGTGGGTGGGACATGGGTGACGGTGGTGGTGTTTGGCACTCTGTGGCCTGGGTGATGCTGAATGCTGTGTGCCGGATGCTGCTCGCCATGCTGCCTCGCTGCGCTCCACACTCACACGCCTCACATGCCCCCCCGCGCGTTCCTCAACCTCATTTACACCTTCCTGTCCCCTTTCCCCCCGCGTCCCTCCTCCCTTCCGCACCCCGTGCTGCGATGTGGGAGCAGAGAACATGCGGCTGGTGTGCGAGTACTTCCAGAACAGTGAGAACCTGGGAGGGCCCACCAGGGACTGGGTCGGCATCTACGAGGAGTGCTGCACGTGAGTCACACCCCACCCCACCCCACCCCACCCCACACACGCACACGCCCACCCATCCGCGTTCATGCAATGCATACAATTTCTGCTGGCTCTGCGATCCCAGCTTCCTTGATGGCACACAGCTGCATGCCTCGCCTCCACTTCACCCTGCATGGCCATGCCTGCCAGTTCGCCACGCACCACAGCCCTCTTGTACCTCGCACGTACTCTGTAACGCCTGCACGTGCAAATTCCTTCTCCTGCTGTCTCCATCTACTGCTACGTTTCCTCTTCCATCCCTTCCCTCCCTCCAACTCTCCTTCCCCTCTCTCCTCCCCCCCTCCCCTCACGCTCTCCCCCCCTCCCTCCTCCCCACAATCCAACTTCCCTCTTTCCATCTCATCTCCTCATCTCTCCCTCCGCCCACCCCCCCTCTCGTCCCCTCCTCCCCCTCTCCCGCCCCAGCGTGCTATACCAGGAGATCGACTACCTGAACGAGGGGCGCAACGCGGACCGCTTCCGGAGGGACTTCCGGCGGTACCCGTGGGTGCTGGTGCCGGAGGTGTTCTGGGACTACAGCACGCGCAAGGTGCTCACGCTCTCGTACCTGCCGGGCATCAAGATCTCCGACATCACACGCCTCGACGAGGCCGGCGTCAACCGCCCCCTCGTGGCGCAGCGAGCCATCGAGGGCTACCTCATTCAGGTGGGGCGCATGGAGGGCGGGAAGGTGCGGGGGGGTACCGTTCCGTTCATGTTGTCGATTCTTTGGATGCAAAGCGCGAAGGTGGGTGTGTAGGAGGAGGAGGGGGGGGGGGGGGGGGGGGGGGGGGGGGGGGGGTTGCCTCGTTTAAGTAGGGAACGGGGGTACCTTTGTGCGGCCTTTCCCTGTAACCAACTTGCACGCCACCTTACAAACACTCCATTCACTTCATCCCAGCTGTGAGTCCCGTTGCCCACTCTTCCCCCTCTCCTTCCCCTCAACCCATATTCCTTCCCGCTCTCCCACCTCACCTCCCCTTCCCCGCATCCCCCTCAGATCCTGCGTACGGGGTTCTTCCACGCGGACCCACACCCAGGCAACCTGGCAGTGGTGGCGGGCAACCGGCTGGTGTACTACGACTTTGGCATGATGGGGGAGATCCCCGCGTTCACCAAGGACCGCCTCACCGCCATGTTCTATGCCGTGTACGAGAAGGACGCCAAGAAGGTCATGCAGTCGCTCGTCGACCTGGGCGCGCTCGTGCCCACTGGGGACCTCAACTCGGTGCGTGCTACTTTGGGCATGCCTCGCACTGCCACGCCCATGCCTGCGACGTGTGCGCTTCTGTCTGCAATCTCATACCCGTTTGCTGTTTGCGAAGACTCAGGACTCGTTCTGCACGCTTTAGTGTTTCTGCTGTTTCTTGGTCTTGTTGCATAGACCTCTTTTTCTTCCCTTTCCCCCATTTAGCTTCTGCCTACACCTTCCTCTGTCCCTGCCCAACTCTCTTTCTCTATCTCTCTCTGCCTCCACCCGCTTCACCCTGCACGCTCCTCGTGCCCACCAACACCTTGGTTCTCATCTGTGCGAATGGGTGCCTGTCGGCATGCATGTTGTGTGCATGTGCGTGCGTGCGTGCATGGCATGGCATGGCGTGGCACAGGTGCGGCGGTCCATCCAGTACTTCCTGAACAACCTCACAGGGCCCAAGTTCGAACGGGACGCCACCATCTCCGCCATTGGCGAGGTGTGTGGTGCGCAGGGGGATGCAGTGAGGGGGGGAGGAAGAGACAGGGGTAGAATGAGGGGCAAAGAGAGTGGTGGAGAGGTAAGGAAGAGGGACTGGTAAACGAGAGCAGTTTTTTCAGCAGGACCTATTGTATGCTGTTGTCGCAAGCCAGGCATGTCATCTCCTGCACGACAGGCACTCATCCCATGCAATGCATGGCGTGTATCATTCCCCTACTGGTGGCACCGTCAACCCTGCCCTTCCAAAACCCACCCATCCCTCTATCTTCATGTGCCCCGTCCCCCCACCTCTTCCCCAATGGCAGGACCTGTTTGCAATCGCAGTGGACCAGCCGTTCCGCTTCCCCGCCACCTTCACCTTTGTGCTGCGCGCCTTCTCCACCCTTGAAGGTGCGTCTCTGCCTTGCTCCTGCACTCTGCACCCTGCCCCCTGCACCCTGTTCCATGTGGTTTTGCTTGTTCAGACAAGAGGGGAGGGGGCGGGGTGCCATGGCATTGGGTGGCAGACCGTATAGAGAGAGGGCTCCTTAGTCTCCTCTATTTTGCAGGCACACGCATTGACGGGCATGCCCACTAACTTATGTTACATTCCGACTGCTCGTATCATACCCTCTGTACCACGAGACCATGTCCAATGAGCACCATGCACCCTCAGCAGTCCCTCGCTGTCCGGTGTTCTCCAACCCACCTGCCTCTCCCCTGCCCTCGTCGCGCTGCCCTACCTCTTGCGTCGTCCAGGCGTGGGAGCCTACTTGGATCCCAACTTCTCCTTCGCTAAAATCGCTGCACCTTACGCCCAGGTATCACCCGTGCAGCCAAGCAAGCCCTTTCATTCTTTAACTGCCTCTCAAACTCTCTGCCTCTCGCCCTGCATGTCCGGTACTCCCCACAAGAAAGGCGCCATGAAGCTGTTCTTTCTACCGTGCACCCGGTGGGCCATCCACTGTGGCGACCTCTCTGCTATCCACCATGCCATCCCCTGGCCGCTCTGTGCGTGCGTGCAGGAGCTCTTGGACCTGCGGGACGCGCAGAGAGGGCAGGACTACGTGGTGCAGCAACTCACCAAGCAGGCCACTGAGGTGCGCCCTGCTCCACCTCTGGCCCCGTGCATACACACATGCACACACACACATGCACACACGTGTTCACATGCAGACACACATGGATGCACGCACGCAGGCAGGCAAGCTCATGTGGTCGAACGCTTGCTGCCAGATGATTCTCTTGCTGCCCAGGAACTATTTCTTGGCACACATGACTCTCTCTCTCTCTCTCTCTCTCTCTCTCTCTCTCTCTCTCTCTCTCTCTCTCTCTCTCTCTCTCTCTCTCTCTCTCTCTCTCTCTCGCGACTGGCACGCTTGCGGTGCGCCCCATGGCAGGTGACGGACGCCACGGTGTCGATGCCGATCAGAGTGCAGCGCATGGACGACCTCCTGCAGCAGATCGAGAACGGTGACCTCAAGCTGCGCGTGCGCGTGCTCGAGGTGAGCCCTGCTGCATGATCGGTGGTAGTGAGGCAGGGCGGGTGAACATTACACGCAGCGGCCTTGTGACCATTGCATCTATTCTCTTAGAACCACCATGCTGTGTCTCCTGGTGTCCGTTGCACACCCTCCGTCTACCTCTCATTCCCCCCTCTCGCTCCCTCCTCTATCTCCCCTCGCTCAATCTCCCCTCTCGCCACCCCTTCTCCCTCCCCCTTCTCCTCCCCGTCTCTCTCCATTCAGGCGGAGAGGGCGGCAAGGAGGGCGGGCATAATGCAGGTGGCAACGATGAACACGGTGGCGGCAGCAGCGCTGCTCAACATGGGTGTGTCCCTCACCACCGCTGCCATTGACGGCCCTGCCACCGCCTGCTTCTGCTTCGCAGGTCTGACCCAGCGCCTCTTGCTTCGCCCTCCTCTCTCTTGCATTCCCTGTTTTGCTTCATGCGGCAGTTTTTTTGCCTATTCCCAGAAAGCTGTGTTCTAAAGCCTTTGTGAGCTTCGCTGTGCATACTAGCACTGCAGCATGTGCATGCTTCTTGGTGGCTCATGTTAGTCCCACTTATTATGGGGGGCATGGCATGGCATGGCAGGTGCATTTGGTGTGGGAGCGCTGTGGAGTTTGAAGCGCATCCAGCGGCTAGACAAGTTTGAGAAGATGATTTGAGGAACCAATGGCCAAGAGAATATACATCCACGAGCTTTTCACAGTTCAATCTGTGCGGACAGATGCGGCACCTGTGCTTGATTCTTTCCACTAGTCAATGTAGTGAGCGCTCCGATGTCTCCTCATCAATAGCTACTGCTGCTGCTCATATGCCAACCAGTGTTCTCAAGTGATTGTCAAGATGAACACTCAATCACCCCACTAGGTATACTAAATGTACATGATTTTCTTGAATCCAGCCACAAGAAAGTGAACAGTGCCAACCAACTGCCTTCACGCCCTGCTGAAGCCTGCACGTGTGGTAGTACATGGTTGCAACTGCAAGCATGCAAGTATGCAAGCATGCAAGTATGGAAGTATGCAAGTATGCAAGCATGCACTGCAGAGATATACATCAACACCTCTCTACTTGCTGTATGTGCCAGCATCACTCCCCCACGCGCACACACCCTGCCAGGGCCCCCACGTCGTCATAGTCACATGTCACTCGGTGCCTCTGGGTGTGCAGCGGTGCGGGGTGCACCGTGTGCTGGCTCCATGAGGGTATGCCATCCTCGTACGGGTTGAACGTCAGCTGCTCCCACTGCCTCACACTCAGCTGCTCCTCATCCCATACTCCCTCCACTGCACTGCCTCCACCACTGCTACTACCACTACTAGCGTCACCAGCAACATTGCCACCTCTGCGTTCATTACCAGCAGCAGCCTGTGGTGGGTGATCCGTGCGATTCAACTGCAGCAGGAATAATTCACCGTATGGCTGGAACTGCTGTGGGTATGCCACAGGGTCTGCTGACATGCCTGCCACGTCCGCAGTGACAACAAGGAAGTGCCCGTCAGGGCTGAACACTGCGTGGTTGACTCGCCCCCATGGCCCGTTGTGCCACACACGCACCACCCCTTGCTGCTGCTCTGCTGCCCGCTGCCGCTGCTTCTCCTGCTCGACCTGCCCAGCTGATTGGTTGTCACGGCCACCCTGCCTCTCGCCGTCTCTTTCACCACCACCATCACCACCACCACCACCAGAAGCAGCATCGCCATCAACAGCAGTACCCCGACGAGCAGTAGCAGCACGAGTTGCAACAGTGCTTGTGGGCAGCACGGCGGGCATGGCATAGAGTGCAAAGCCCGTGCCCTCACTGCAATCAGAGCTGAACACAATCCACTCGCCCCACGGGTCCCATGCAGGCATGGTGTCCGTCCACGGCCCGTCACTCACCTGCCACACACCGCCGCGCTCGCCATGCTGAGCGGCCATGAGGAAGAGGTTCTTGTGCCCTGTGCGTGCCGACCGGAACACTATCCACCGCCCACATGGCGACGGCGCTGGGAAGGCGTTGTTGCGCGTGCCGGGGAGAGTGAGGCGCCGCCACGACACACCGTTCACTCTGCCCCGACCACTTCTGCTGCTGCTGCTGCTGCTGCTGCTGCTGCTGCTGCTGCTGCTGCTGCTGCTGCTGCTGCCGCCACCGCCACTGTCCTCCTCTTCTCTCTCACCCTCAACCCCCCCTCCCGCCCCTCCCTCCGCCTTCCCCTCCCCCTTTCGCCCCTCTTGGAAGAGCCATGCGCCCACCCCTGACACCTCCACCACATGCACCTCTGCCTCCCCCGGCGCAAACCCCGGCCCCGCACTCGTGTACAGCACACCGGGCACCGCAGGATTCCACGCCAGCCCAAACGCAGGGCCCTGGAACACCTGCTGCTGCGCTGCACTGCCGTCTGCCGGCACCACATACACACCCGCACCAGGGCCGCCGAGAGCATGGATGAAGGCGAGGAGTCGGCCGTCTGGGGAGAGAGCGGGGAAGAGGCCTGCCGTGCGGATGAGGTTGAAGGGTGTTGAGGGCGGTAAGGGCGTGGCGATGTGCTCCACGTAGTACCCGTGGCAGTCCGTGCAGTCTGTGTGCGCGCGCTGAGGGGATATAGGTTGTGAGAGTGTGAGAGGGGGTTGGGCTAACAGTGCTCGGTGTGCCTCCTGTTTCTGCACTTGTGCTGTTTCTGTGCTGCTGCCTGCCCCCTCGCTGCCCTCTGGAACTGATGCACTGTCTTCTGCTAAAACTTCCTCATCTCCACCATCCTCGCCTGCGCACCGGCAACGGTGGTATGCAACACGCGATCCGTCCGGCGCCACTGACGGCGTGTAGTGATTGGCGGACGACCGGAAGTGCTGAGTCAGCATGTACAGCTGGCGCGACGGCAGGTGAAGCAGCTCGACGTGGCGGAAGGGCGAGGGGGGGCGGCGGGTGGTGAGGGCGATGAAAGGACCACACGGGGAGGGGGCAGCGGAGGAGGGCGTGAGGGCGTGCAGGCCGGGCGGTGTGAGGCGCTCCTCCCTGCCCACCCCTATACTCGCCTCTCCTTCCCCTCCACTCGCTCCAACATCTGTTTTTGCATTGGGAGCTGTTCCACTGGCCCCATCCCCCTCACCATCCGCCCTCTGCCACGCCTCCCCCTGGCTCTCTCCAGGCAGGTCCAGCTGCACCTGGAACACACCGAACCACCCCTCACCGCCCTCCCCTTGCTGCGCCCCCTCATCAGCACCACGCCCCGCCTGCCCTCTCGCGCGCACGAGGCGGTGGAAGAGCAGAGTCGAGTCGTCCTCGCCCCATGCCGGCCACCCTCCCTGCTCCACCACCTGCTGCCGATGCTTGCCGTCCGGCATGCTCATGACGTGGATGGCAGTGGGCAGTGCTAGCAGGTCCCTCTGCTGCATGTTCACTGCGCCACCCGTGTCCATGTGAGCAGCAGCGCTGGCATGAGTGCGGTGAGAGGCATAGTGGGCGGGAGCAGAGGCGACCGCGAGCCAGCGCCCCGAGGGGGAAACACTAGGGGAGAAGTCAGCGAGATGAGGGGGTGTTACGCAGTGCTGGGGGAAATAGGAAGGGAGAGGGAGGGGGTGAGAGGGGAGACACAATGAGCAATCTACTTGGTTGCATACTCAGAGCAGTGTATGGAGGGAACTAGAGAGCAGGGCATTGTGACTGCAACGACAACAGAACCTACGAACACTGTGGTGTGGAGGGAAAGAGAAACACAGCGAATGCGAATCTTAGCTGTAGTGGTGCCGTTGCTCCCCATGTGTTGCACGTGCACTGCACTCCAGCTCAACCGCGCCGCACATCCCTTCCCCGCCGCTCCTCCCTCTGCGCGCCTGCTTGCCCATGCGCCTGCCATGCTCCCCTGTGCTGCAGGGCGGGTGGGCTGTGTGCGTGCGAAGACGAGGTACGGGCCAGCAGCAGCAGCGACCATGGCAGGCCGGTCATGCCATGCCACGCCCTGCGTCAACTGCACCGCCTCACACCCCTCTTCGCTGCGCCCGCTTCCTTGGGCTTTCATACTCCCCTCTGCTCCATCACCTCTCTGCCTCTGCTTGACGCGCCTGCCCTGGCAAGCGCGCAGCACAGCGCCCTTACTCTCCCCCGCGCCATCACCGTAATCCCCTGCCAACATCCGCCGCCTTTCCGTCTCTTGCACATCCCCCTGCCGCTCCGCTTCCACTGCCAGCCTCCCCAACTGTGCATGTATCGCCTGCACCCCCTCGTGCAGCCCCGCACAATCCTCCCCTTCCGCCAGTGCACTGCCCGCCGCGCCGCCCTTCGTCGTCTCTTCCATGCTTCCTCCACCCGACACCTTCGCAACAACCTCCTCCTCCCCCGCGCCTTTTTCCCCCGACCCTGGCGCCACTGCACAGAACATCACGTTCCCCGCCCCGCCCTCCGCCTCTGACACGAACACCAGCGCCAAGTCGTTACCCCCGCGCCCCTCCGCCTCCGCGCCATGGACCCCCGTGAGCTTCCCCCCGCACCCTCCCCCTGCCTCTCCGCGCGCCACCTCTACCCCCGCGCCATCGCGTTTGCTCCGCACGCCCACAGTGAATTGCGCGCTGTGGCTGGCGCTGCCGCTTGTCGCAGTGTGCCGCCGTTCGCTTATCGTCCCCCGCCCCGTCCTCTTTCCCCCACCCCTCCCGCCTCTCTCCCGCGCTTCCTTTCCGCCCTCATCCAGCCTCTCCTGACCCCCGCTACTAGAGTCGCTTCCGCCTCTTGCGGGGCACCCCACACCTGTTCCGTTGCGCGCACCGCGTGTTGTCTTATATGCGCTCTCTATGACAACGGCGTCACCGCGAGTGTGAGCTGGCCAAGATGGGGACTGTGCAGGCGGGTGGCGGAAGAAGTGGGGCGGCAGCGCGGCGGAGTAGACATCGAAGGCGTACTGCGTGCGACCCACCACGGCAAACAGCACACTCCCGCTCGGCCGCATTCGCGCCATCGCGGGAAATTCGGCCAACGAATCGCCGGATTCCCCGCTTTGAGCGTACGACGTCTCTTCTGCTGCGCGCAAAGAGCTTTCGTTTCGCATAGCTGGGCCCAAGTCTACTGTGGTTGGTAAGGACGGGCGTAGGCGTGATGCGACAGCAGACATGCGCGGCGGAGACAGAAGCAGCAGCAGCAGCAGCAGTGCAGCAGGCGACGAGAGAGAGGCGAGCATGGTGGAGGAGAACGGAAATTGGAAAATGCGGATTGGGAAAGCGAAAGACATGCGATGTTGGGAAATTGGGAGCGAGGAGTACGTGTCGTCCATGCCATAAAGTCTACAGAAAGCGATACAAGGTAAGAGCCTTGCCTCATTTCACTACTACGGTACCGTAATCTGTTTTGCATACGGTATACCCATAAGATAGAAGGCAGATGGGGGACACATTCAGTTACGACTTACAATGTATGCATGTATCATGCAATATAAACACATGGTGCCAATTTATTTGCGAGATGAACAATGCAATCACTGCTTATGCGATTGGTACAAAAGGATGCACTCTTCTAGAAGCTCCTTTGCTTGCTCAACAGCCAACTGAACTAAGCATGACATGTCTGCAATCGTCCTTGGATGCCATCTATACCCACACCCCGCACACCAGGTAAGGGATGCGTAAAAGTAGACAAGGCATCGGAAGCTGTTGCATGAAGGGCAAAGCAAGGTGCCTCCAGCAGGCAGTGTGATGGGAAGCACGAGTGACGCATAGCGCAGCGAGGCGAGGAAGGGCGAGTGGCGCGAGAGCAGCGACGCGTTGCAGAGGAACTGCGTCCTCTCAGGGCCCACCAGCAGCGACACCACTCGCCCGCCGCCCACGCTCAACGCCTGCTGCGCTCCGGGCCTTCCATTACTATCGTCGGATACTGACAGCTTCTCCGTATCCATGGTTGAAACACCCGTCAGGCGCGGTTCATTATCCAGATGATAGATACTCGAAAGAGTTTTCGTAGTTACTTTATAAATGAAGAGATATAACAGTGAGGTCTCGGCGAGTGAAGAGTGGACATAATGGTCCAGGGACCATTGCCATGGTTGCCTTGCCGCGCCGCCCTCGAGTCAAACGAGGACGTGAGAACGAGCACTTGGGAGAGATCGAAAGAGTTTGCATGCGTACTTCTGCTGTACGTTCTCTGGGGTCCGATCCGTTGCGTCACGGTGCAAAACGGTAGAACGTGAAAAAGCTTTCCACGAAGCATGAGCTGTAATCTACATGTTGGAGTCAATTTCTTCGAGAAATTGACATACTGAGCTGGAGGGCTGAGTTTATCACTTGAAAACAGGGTGACCAGTTTTTGGACTCGGCCCCGTTTCCTGCAAAGCTAACGGTTGAGGGGGTCGGAGAGTGGGGATTGGGGTTCTTTCCGCCCGAAACCGAACTCCCCAGGTTGCTTCCCGCCCTTCCGCAGACCCTTCCCCCAAACCACGCGTCAGCACGAACCTGGGCTGGATTCGCGTTTCCAGTCTGAGGTTATCGCTGCGGTGTTTCTGAAACCTTCCCACTTCGTTCTCCAATCAGGCCGCACGAAAGGGTGGGCAAGAAAAATACCCCCAAAAACACCACTTTGTATGTAGACCGCAGCTTTAAGTGTAAACGTGACTATTAGCTACCATCTACATGTATGGTGGGGGAGGGTGGAGTGGAGGAGGGGCATGTACGCATTTTCAGAAGCACTAACTAACAAGGCTGACAAATAAAAACGCCCTCAACAGACCATACTGCAAAAGGAAAAATGTGTTTAGAAACAAGTTGTACAAACAAATGCACTCTGACAACCGCTCTGCCAAGGCAAAATGCCTCTACGACCAGCTGTACAAACGAATGCACTCTTCCAGAAGCTCCTTGGCTTGCTCCACCGCTAAATGGAAAAAGAAAGCCATGTCTGGAACGGTCTGCGGAACCCACTTCCACCCACAGTCCGCACACCAGGCCGATGTTCGGAACAGATAGACCAGGCAGCGGAGGCTCCTGCACTGTGGGCAGTGCAGGGAGCCCCCCGCAGGTAGGGTAACAGGAATAACGAGCGACTGAATGGTAAGCTCCTGCCGTATCTGCACCGAGCCCGACCTCTGGTCATCGTACATGGCACGCAACTTGGAGTAGAGGCACAGACGCGTGGTGCAGAGGTCTGGCTGGACCACTTTCCGCTGTGTCCGGTCCACCAAAGCCCTGCAAACACAGGAGCAAAACCCATGATCAGAGTCAACCCGACCATAAACAATGTCACAAGAGGTGGGAATGGAACTCTGGGACAAAACCCTAGAAGCAGTACCAGAGGTGACCGTGGCTGCAGATGTTGCCGCTCCTGAGCCCCTGGCCGCTGGCCCAGCAGATGGTGCAGAGGATAGCGTGGTGGCGGAGGTTCAGGCGGAACTTAGAGAACTCGTCAGGCTGCTCAAACAGCAGCGGGTCATCACACCCTGGAGGTACGCGAACCACCGGCAATGGCTGCAGCTGCCGCACCAGAGGTGGACATGAGAAAGAGGTCAGGGGGGCGTTGCCGACGGCTGCATTGGCGCTGCTGGGAGGCACTCCTCCCTTACCGGAAAAATCTCCGGCAGCGTGTGCAGGCGTGTGCATGTCGACCTTGAGGAAGTCCAGCGTGCCTCGAAGCGAATCCAGCTCCTCATTTCCCAGATCTGCTTGACTCTGCGGGAACACACACAGCGAAGGTTGCGGAGATGGATCAAAGCGGGCCTTGCTACCCACAACGGCGTGGATCACCGGCAAAGACGATGGCTTGCTGCTTCTACACGCACTAACCGTTTTCACTGGCTGGCTGGATGGAAGTTACCTGCAGTTGTTTGTAGGCCAGAAGAAGCATCACGTGCGCGAAGTCTCTCGCATCCACGGAGGCCAGCTCCCAGCTGCTATCTGCTGACGCACCGCCTCGCGCTTCCTCGCGCTCCTCTCGCGCCACACCCTCTCGCGCAGCTCCCCCCGCGTGATCCGCGCGGATGCGGGGGGCAGCGGCGGACCAGCGGTCGCTGAGCAGCGAGGCGAGGAAGGGCGAGTGGCGCGAGAGCAGCGACGCGTTGCAGAGGAACTGCGTCCTCTCAGGGCCCACCAGCAGCGACACCACTCGCTCGCCGCCCCCGCTCAACGCCTGCTGCGCGCCGAGCCACCCGTGACCGGCGCCTGATCTTGGCGGACTCTCCGTATCCATGGCTGAAACGAGGAAAAGCGCCACCTAGTGGCTCGGCTTGCACAAAACCAGAGACTGATTGCTGCAGACGGATCTAACGAATTCGTGCCGAGTCGCATGCTTTCGCAACGGCGGACACTGTTAGGGAGTGAAGGTGATTTTGGGAGGGAAAGGGGATCCCCGACAGAGCCCAGACGCAGAGCCGCCATGGCTGCTCCGAGTGCGGTGTGAGGTGATGTGTGCGTGGAATGGTGGCCACTTGGCATTGTTGTGATGAGGCAGTTGAATCGGGAGTCGCAGTCCCGCATGCGAGGGGCATGCGGGCGGACAGGCGAAATTGCATGTGCTGTGTAACCCAAATATTTGAGTGTACACTGGCTGAGTTTTGAAATTGAAGGAACTACTGTATTAAAACACTATCGAGAGTTTCCAATCGCGGATACAACAAACCATCCATCACCAGTCACATCCGCACAGCAATTGGCGCAATGGCCCCTCTACTCCACTCTCACCGCGGCGCTTTCCGCCTTCCCCCAATCCGCACCATCACCGCCTCATAGAGGGGCCATTTCTTGCTCTGCCACGAAACACCACAACCCTCCATCCCATCCTACAGCGCGCCCACCATGGCACTTCCACCAACTGCGGTGCCGCCAATCATGGCGCCGTGCGCGAGTCCGTGCGGCGACGGCGTGGTCGACGTGCTGGGGGCGGAGGTCACCGTCGCGCTCCTCGCATGCCTCGATGCTCCTAGCCTTGCGCGCTGCGCCGCTGTCTCGCGCTCATGGCGCCGCCTCGCCACGGAAGACACTCTGTGGCTGCCGCTCTGTCGCAGCCTCTGGCGCTCCAAGGCCTACGTTCCGCGCCGCTTTAAGGCGCTCCTGGATGAGCCTCCGAAACGGGGTGCTTCGCGTCACGGCGCAACGGCCACTCGTGTTCCGTCACTCGCGGCAGTCCCTATGTGCGCTGGTGATGGAGCGGGAGGGAGCTCCCTCGAGAATAAAGCTGAAGCGGTTGCGAATAACGGAACTCAACCACACTCAAAGACGGAACGCGACTCCGACGCGAATTCCAATAATTTAGAAGTTTCGGAGCCGTTTTCTTGGGCGGCAATGTACAGGCAATCTCTAGGCGAGGGAGCGAGGGAGGGGATACTAGCGGAGGAGCTGTGCAGCGTGACGTGGAGCTTTCGCTTTAAGCACATGGACCTGCCGTGGATCAGGAACCATCCGTTCTGGTTGAACCTGCCGCCGCTGCTCCGCCGCTTCCACGCGGACGGCAGTGTGGTGTCCGGCACGCGCAACGACCCCATCTTCGGCTCGCACGAAAACATCTGGCGCTTCGTGCCGCACTCCATCTCTCCAGGACCTGCCGCTGCTCCTACTGCTGCTGCTTCTTCTGGTGACAGTACACGGAGCAGCGAGGCCCGCGCCGGGGGGAACGGCGGGCGAGGTGGCGGCGAGGGGGCAAGTAGTGGTCAGGAGAGAGCAGGGGGGGAGGCAAGGTCAGCGCTGGGCGAAATCGGGGATGGATGGGCGGTGGGGGGGAGAGGGGCTTCCAGTACATGTGTCTCTGGCGCACCTGTGCCACAGTCTGCTGCCGTGCCTGCTGCAGCTGCATCTGCTGCGCCCCCTGTGGCAGCAATGCGAGTGCGCATCAACCACTGGCCCGCGCTGACAGTGGTGCGCAGGACGGATTGGGGCTGGGACATGGCCAATGAGTATGTCATCTACTGCAGCCTCCCACCCTCACCCTGATGCGCGCATCTCCCGCCCTGCTCCTCCCCTAGTCCCCTCTTTAGCTGAACGTGCCTTCACTGCTGCTGTCCGTAACATTCCAGTTTCTGCCCTCCCTTCCCTCTCTGCTGTTGATTGTGTGCTCTGATGTGGGTGACGTATGTGAGGCTGCATAAGCAGTGCCTCCCAGCTCAGTACTCGTCGATGCTGTAATTCTATGTTTTAGCATGCAATAAAGTGCACACATTTGGTGTACCTATATGCCATATAACTAAGACATTGTAGCATGCTGTAAAGCCCTACACTGTTGACAGCGATGAACTATGGTAGTAAGCACACATGGGTTCTACTACTACTGGTACTCTATAGATCTAGCACCGGAGAAAAGTGACAAGGAATTCTAGAGACTGACAAGCACCACCTCGTGTGGGCACACAACGCAACCATGCCCGGATCAAAGCATTACCAGTAACAGTCTGCCACCTGCCAATAACATTACTCGATATAAGGTACCAATCTGTCATTGAAAGGGTTTCCTGGGCGCATGGGTCCACGCAAACCCCATAACACGTCACGCGACGCCCCGCGCCATCCCTTGCAGGGGTCACTGCTTGAGGTATTTGAGCGCCACCTGGCGGCGCTTGAGCTCCTCATGTGGCACGCCCAGGTCGCCCGCGAGCATGAACGCGGAGGAGCCCTTGTAGCGCGCCTCAAACACGCGCAGCCGCGTGCCACTGCCCGTGCGCGACGTGGACGCGAGGAAGTGGTCGGGGCGCGTGACGGGCCCGTGGCGCAGCTGTGCCAGGATGACTGCCAGCAGGAACTGCAGCCGGATCTCTGCTCGCTTCGTCTCGTCCAACCCGTCGTCCACATCCGGTGGGGACTGCGCGTGGTGATGGGATGGGACGGGAAGCAGGAAAAGGAAAGGCGGGGCGGGACGGGGGGGAAAGAGGGGGGTGAGGGGGGTGAGGGGGGAGGGGGGAGGGGGGGAGGGGGAGTGGGGGGTGATGGGAGAGGAAGGGGGGAAAGTAGAGGGCAAGTAGGGGAAGGATGAAGTGGGGGAGGGGAAAAAACATATATTACAGAGGGGGTTGGAGGGGGAGTTGGGGGGGTTTGTGAGGTAGAGGAGCCCACTTCCGAGGTAGGGCACGCAGAGCACATCACGGAATCCAGATCGCAAGAGGTGAATGGAATGAGGAGGATGGGGCCGTACGACAAGGAGGGGTGGAGCTAAGGTGGTGGCATGGTTACCGGGGTAATGAGGTTGGGGAAGGAGGCGAGGAGGCCAGAGCGGAACATGGCGGCGAGGGGCACGTAGTCCACGTTGAGCGCCATGGCCACGCCCACCGTGCGCATCAGCAGCATGTACTCGTGCACACGCTCACTGCTCGGCGTGTTGCGCCGGAACTCGCGAATGGCGTCGCGACACGTGTCATCGATGTTGCAGAGGAAGACCTCGTGCTCCTGGGTGGCGCGGTCGGAGTCGTCCCCGGCCTCGGACAGCAGCGTGCAGTCAAAGAGCAGCACCAGCAGCGCCTCGTATGCCCCCAGTGACCCCGCTGCCTCCGCTGCCGTCGTGCACCCCAGCCCTGCATGCAGAGAGACCGAGGAGGACGGCAAGGCGGGGGCGCGTGGGGGGTTCAGGAGATTCACAAAGGAGACTCGGAAATGCAAGGATGCGGCGGGGCAAGCAAGTGGGAGGTAAGAGGGCATAGGGGTGTGGGGAGGCGAAGGAGGCACAGAGGACGTCACGCGTGTGCTGTTTGAAACCCACACGACCTGGTGCAGAGCGCCCGTGCGTGGCCCCTCCCCTGCATGCACTCACCGCTGGCCCTCTCACACTCCTCATCCGACGGTGCCCTCGCCAGCGTCTGCATCAGCGACACCGCCGCTGCCGCCCGCCTGCCAGCCAGCATGTTCCAGATGCGACAAACCATGCCGCCCTTGAGCGCGACCGTGGAGAGCGTGGAGACGTGCTCATGGGTGAAGAAGAGCAGGTCGTTGGCGTCCGCGTCATATCCGCGCACGGTGGGCGGCGGGCCACACGAGGGCGCCACGGGCACGTCAGCAGCAGCGCTGGGAGCAGCAGGTGGGGCAGCGAGGGGGTCGCCCAGCCCAACGGCGTGGCCCCACTGGCGGCAGAGCTCCATGGAGCGGTGCGCGCCCAGGATGTCCGTGTGGCAGGCATCGGGGAAGCGCACGAGCATTTCTTTCAGCAGCTCCACTGCCTCCTCCACCTCCTCGCGCTCCACCGCCTCGTCTATCGGGTCGCGCACCGCCTCCTCCTCCACCTCCCCGTTCCACGACTCCTCGTACTCCCCCCCGCCCTCCGCCCACTCCTCCGCCTCACCGCCATACCCCCCTCCACCGCCGGCCCTGGGCTTGGCGGCGCTGCGCTGGCCGACGCGGCCCATGATGCGGTGGCGCATGCTGGTGCTGGCGTCGTCGTCGTCGGGCAGGTCGGGGTCGTCCAGGTCGTCCACGGACGATGCCTGCATGGACTCCCCCGCCAGCAGCAGCTTGCGAGCGCGCAGCATGCTGCTGCCCTTGAGCACTGGCTTCCTTCCCGTACGCCGCCCCAGCGGCCCGCTGTGGCCTTTCCCACTGCCGCCGCCGCCACCACCACCGCCACCACCTCCGTCCCGCTCCCCCACTCCGCCACCGCCCCGCCCGCCCCCTCCCCCTGGGCGCCCGCCGCCCTCGGAGCCGCCCTGGCGCCAGTCACTGCCACTGCCGCTGGTGGAACCCCTGGGGCTGGCAGCGCTGTTGCCGTCCACCACTGACGACGCGTCCTCCTCCCCGCCCCCCCTCACACTGCCACCCCCCCCACCGCCCCCTTCACTCTCGCTCCTCTCCACCCCCCCTCCACTCCCGCTCTTCTCCCACTCATCACGCCCCGACCCCGACCCTCCCCCTCCCCTCCCACCGCCCCTGTCCGCATCCCCCCCCCCTCTCCCCCTGCCTCCGCGGCTGTTGTGCGACCCACGCCACGATTCCGTGTCGCCCTCAGCGCTACCCTCGTCATTCGCCCACTCGCCCTCCTCCTTCCTCCGCGCCTCTCCCACTCTGCTACCCCGCACATCCCCCCACCGCCCCTCCCTACGCCGCCGGCCGCGCCGGGCCTCCTTGCCCCCCTGCCCCGCCTCCATCTTTTTCCCCTCCTCCAGCAGGCGGATGCCAAGCTGACGAGCGGAGGAGGGGCGGCCAATCTTAAGCAGCGAGCGGTGCAGGTGCTGCACGACAATGGCGGACGGCGAGATGAGCAGCTGCAGCTTCGCCACCCACTGCGCCACCGCGAACTGCCCCACCTCCGCTGCTGCGGGCACGCGTGGGCGTGTGAGGGGGTAGCCGCGCGCAGTGGAGAGCTTGCAGATGTGTGCGAGGGAGCGCCCCAGGATCCACGCGTCGTCCACCCTGTTCGCCAGCGCCAGCCACTGCTCCAGCCCTCGCTGCCTCATGCAAGGCGGGCGGGTGGAAAAAGGGAGAGGGGAAGAAGAGGGGTGAAAGTGAGAAGGTGGGGCGTGGAAAAGATTGCAGGTGGTCCACCTCCCACACATATGGATGTGGCTCAAACAGGTGATCAGCATGAGCAGGATGAGCACGCCCAGCACAGTGCTCTCATCCCACATGCAAGGGGATTAACGAGCGCACCTCGATCCACGTCTCCTCGCGGGCCAGCTGCAGCCACTGGTCGTCCAGCTCCGCCGCCTCCTCATCCGCGCCCTCGCCCTCCTCCTCGCCCTTCCTGCGCCGCGGCCGCCGCTTGCGAGTGCCCATGTGGCCCTTCATGAGCGCGGCGGCAAGCTGCTGCAGGTCCTCCTTGCCCACCTGCGCGCACAGCCGCGCCAGGAACAGCCCCTTGGCCACCGCGCCCGTGTTGTGGCACCACACGTGGAACAGCGGGTACCGCCCCCCTTCAGGCGCCCTCTCCAGCTTCTCCTTTGAATCCACCTTCCCCACCCCGCCCTCCCCTCCCATCACCGCCCCCGCTCCTCCTCCCTGCCCCGGCTGCCCCGCACCCGCATTTCCCCCGCCACCCCCTCCCGCGCCCTTCCCCCCATCTACCCCGGGGGCAGGGCGGCCGTGCACAGTAGCAGCAGCGGTGGCGGCAGGCGTGAACTGCCAGCCGTCGGGGAGAGCAAGGCGGGCCTCAATGTCGGGCATGCGACCGCTGATGCGGTGCAGCACGTCCATGAGCATGTCCAAGTCCACGGACAGAAGCTCGTCCACCTTCACCGCGCGGAACCACAGCAGGAAGAGGCTCTGCCAGTCCTCCCACGACAGCCGCACCACGTCCATGATCTCAAACAGCCGCCGCACGCCCGCCTCACCCTGCAGGATGCCGCCCATCACGAACTGTGCCAGGGCTCGCAGGTCCGCCGGCTCGCTGCCCGTCGCCAGCCACATGCCAAAGCCCTTGTCGTCGCCGCGCGCGCCGTCGCTGCCCCACCCGAACAGGTCGCCCTTCCTGCTCGCCTGCTTCTCCTGCTGCCCTACGCCCGCCTCGCGCCCCTTGCTGCCACTGCCAGGTGCGGCTCTCTGCCTGGCCTCGCGCGTGTCACGGGGGTCCCAGGAGGGGTCGAACGAGAAGGCACGTAGGAAGTCCGTGGACGTCATGGGGGGGGGCGCGCTCTCCAACGCGTCATCCCCCTCCTCCGCTCCGCTCGTCGGGGGCGCACCTCCTGCCTCGTCCCCTGCGCCCTTCCCCCCCCCCGCTCCCCCCCCTCCCTTACCCTTGCTCTCCATCCAGAGGTAGTTGCACTCGCTCTCGGACTCACAGAGGGAGATCCACGCGCCCAGATCCGCCACGAGCGCCTGGTATCGCGCCTTGCGCTCCTCTGACTCTGCCACCAGCGCCGCCTCCTCCGCCTCACTCACCTTGCCCCCCTTGCCCCGCACGCGCCGCCACCGCCGCCAGCGCCGCTCCCACCCCATGGCCGGGCCCCTCTCAGGCTCCACGTCTAGGTCCAGCCCATCCTCCTCGCGTCCTCCTGCCTTGCCCCCACCGTCCTGGGCGGCGTCCGGGTCGCGCTTGAGTTTGATGAAGACCTTGAGCAGCAGGCGCTGCCAGCGCAGCAGCCCGCAGCGCTGCTCCAGGTATTGCAGCAGCTTCTCATCCACGCGCCGGATCTTCCTGCCCCCCAACCCCACCCCCGCCAGCACGCCTGCTGCCGCCGCAGCCTCCTTGGCTCGCCCTGGGGAGCTTTCCCTGCCCGCCCGCTCGCCCTCGCGACGCCCCTCGCCCCTCCCTGCACCCCTCTCATAGTCGCCCTCCCTCTCCCTCATGCTGCCCCTCTCCCTCTCCCTCTCCCTCTCCCTGTCTCTGTCTCTGTCCCTTTCCCGCTCCCTAAACCTCTCCCTATCCCTATCCCTATCCCTTGTTCTGTAGCCATCCCTGTCCCTATCCCTATCTCTATCTCTCTCCCTGTCCCTGTCCCTGTCCCTGTCCCTGTCCCTGTCCCTGTCCCTCTCTCTGTCTCTGTCCCTGTCTCCCCTGTCCCTATCCCTGTCCCTGTCTCTTTCTCTGTCCCTATATCTGTCCCTATCCCTGTCCCTGTCTCTGTCCCTATCTCGATCCCTATCCCCATCTCTGTCCCTCTCCCTATCTCTATCCCTGACTCTATCCCGATCCCTATCCCAGTCCCTCTCCCTTGGCCTCTCCCTCTCCCTTTCCCTCTCCTTCTCCCTCTCCCTCTCTTGCGTCGTGCCCTCCCCCCCACCACCGTTGTCTGCCTCGCCGCGTTGCCCCAGTCTGTTCCACATGGCCAGACCCCCTGAAAGCAGGCTCGACGCGCCTTCCAGCGCCGCTCTCCCTAGCCCGCCCTCCGCCCCCGCTGCCCCTGCTCCCTCCGCGCCCTGCAGCGCCGCCTGCTGCTGTTGGCGCAGGGCGAGCTGCTTCTCGGAGTCGAGCACGTGCTTGTTGTACGCCACACACTCCTCCACACACGTCAGCACGTCCTCCATCACCGCCAGGTGGCACTTCTCAGGGAGCGCCGGCCGCGTGGCAATGAGCAGGTCCAGCACCTGCAGCTTGCGCACGGGCGAGGTGAGAGCGGCTGTGAGCTTGAGCAGCAGCACCTGCTCCTCCTCGTCGTCCGCGTCCTTCTTGCCCTCCCACCCAAACGAGCTGCGCATGCGCAGAGACAACCGCCCCTGCAGCTCCTCCTCCTCCTCGTCCACCTCCTCCTCCTCCCCCTCCTCCTCCTCCTCCTCCTCCTCCTCCTCCTCCTCCTCCTCCTCCTCCTCCCCTTCCTCCTCATCTTCTTCCTCCCCTTCATCCTCCGCGCCATCCTTAGCTGTTGATTTCTTCAACCGGCTGCTCTTCCCTTCGCTCTTTCCCACACCGCCCGTCTGCCTCCGCTCCTCCTCATCGCCCTCCTCCGCTTCATCCCCTACCAAACCCCCTTTGCTCTTCCTCCTCGCCATGTCCTTCCCATCCCTGTCCTCCTCCACCTGCTCCTCCTCGTCCTCGCTCACTTCACTCAGCCCACTCTTCTTACCGCGCTTCTTCTTTCCCCCTTTGCCCGCGCCGCTGACAGCAGCGGCAGCAGCGGCCTTGTGCTGCAGGTGAGTGAAGGCGGCGATGGCAGCGGCGCGGGAGTTGCGCTTGAGCTTGAGCAGGTCGCACAGGCGCTGGAAGATGTCGCTCTCTGTCAGCGCCCCCCCCGCCCGAGTGCTCACATCCGATGGCGTGTGGTGGCTGCCACGGTGCAGGGGGGGAGGGAGGGGGAGGAGGGGAGGGGAGGACAAGTGTGATGTAGGAGGTGTGAGCGAGGTGGTGTGCAGGCGATTCCTATCCTTGGTGCCCTTATGCAGCACACGTGTGCATGCATGCATGGCTCTTGTGCCTTTGGGCGCACGCAGTGGGAGTGGAATGAGAGGACATGCAGGCTGGAGCCAAGTCATGAATCGACCACGAGCGAGCTAGTGGAAGGAAGGAACATGTGTGATTTCACACACACACCCACATGTGTGCATCATGATTAGAAACGCACCTTTCCGTGAGCGAGACAGTTGGCATGATCTCTGACACCTGCCCTGTGTTGCCATGCAGGATGAACGCGCGGTGCCGCTGCCCATACACGCCGTCCGCGCCCCCATGCGCGCCTGCAGTAGCAGCGCTGGCAGAGGAGGAGGAGCCGTGCAGCAGGGACGAGATGCCCTTGGATATGTCCAGCGAATGCGACGACGTGGGCGGTGCGTGCGGGTCGGGCGGGAGCGTGGTGTGCGGGGCGCCGATTACTGCTGCTGGCTGCAGCAGCCGGCTGTTGCTGGCACAGCGAAAGAGAGCAATGCGCGGGCCCCCCACCATTTGCCACACCTGTGAACGGACGGGGGAGTGGGGGTGGGGTAAGGGGGTTATGGAGAGAGGAAACAGAGAAAGGGATACAAATGAAAGCGTGTGAGAAATTCAGAGGCGAGATAAAGGAGTGGGGAAAAGTGACGGGGAGGAGGGAAAAAGGGGGGGGGGCGAGGGAGGGAGGAGAGTTGCGCTTACCTCAACGACCTCTCGGCGTGGGGCAAAGATGGCGAGGCACATGGAGAGGTGGCGCGGCTTGAGCACGAGCTGCAGGTGCACGTTGGGGGACGCGCCCCCCATGGACGTCATGCCCGCACTGACTATCGGCACCTCCAGGAACGCCAGCTCCGCCTCCCGGTACCCCTGCCGGCAGAAAAGGACGCACACAGGGACAAACCGCAGGTTGCTCAGCGATTGGCACGAGGACGGGTGGAGAAAAATGTATTTCTCATGCTCAATGAAAGGGGGGGCGGGGGAGGAGGGGGAGTGGTAAGCGGAGCAGGGGAAAGGGAAAGAGCGGGTTGCAGGGCAGCAGCGGCGGTGAGGTTGAGGGCAGACCTTCCACATGCGCACGACAGCGAAGATCTGCGAGTCCAGCACCATGACGCGCCCCAGGTTGTCCGCGATGGCCATGAGCGTGCCCCTGGGCGCCACTGCCAGGCGCGTGGCATGGCGCGAGTGGTCCTTGAGCGCTGCCACCACGCCCATGCTGCTGCCCACCTCCATCGCCCCCCGCGGCACCACCCGCTCCCTCCCCTCCTGCTCCTCCGCCCCACCCCCACTGCCGCCAGTGCCGCCACTGCTGCTGCTGCCAGTGCTGGCGCGGCTGCTGGAGGAAGAGGAGGAGGAGGAGGAGGTGGTGGAGCGGGGGGAGGAGAAGTTGGAGCTGGTGCGCGAGAGAGAGGTGTGCGCCGTGGGGGACGACGGCACACTCTGCGCCTGCGACTGCTGCGCGTGAGGCTGGGAGCGCGAGGTGGAGGAGGAGGAGGAGGAGGAGGAGGAGGAGGAGGAGGAGGAGGAGGAGGAGGAGGAGGAGGAGGAGGAGGAGGAGGAGGAGGAGGAGGAGGAGGAGGAGGAGGAGGAGGAGGAGGAGGAGGAAGGGGTGTCGGGAATGCGTGAGGTGGAGCGGCGGGTGCGGGAGATGGAGCGAGAGAGGGCGGAGGCAGCAGAGGCAGCACGGGAGCGCACGTTACTGGCAGCATTCGAGGCGAGCTGCACCCACCCGCCCTGCTCTGTGGCGCTGTTAGGGCATGCGGGCAGGGGAGGGTTGTAGCAGAGAGATGTTGTGAGGGGGGAAAGGTGTGGAAGGTGGAGGGCGTGTTGTGGCATGGTGATGGGAAGCAGGCGATGCAGGAACAGGTTATGCACGTAGGAGGGAGCGAGGGGCAGATCCATGCCAAGTTATGGTATGGGGTGAGGCTGATGTGCATGCTGTGCTGACACAGCAACGTGCTGTGATACAAGTGGCGCCTGTGGCAGAGGCAGTAAGCAATGGCAACAACTCACGCGAAGGCAGCGAGTGTAGGATCCAGGCCCACGGCCACGATGCAGTATGACTGCTTGGGAGACTGCTCACAGCAAATACACAGCGAAAGGGAGTTGGGCATGGCGCAGCACAGGGGCAGAGAGGGCGCAAGACTGGGCTACACAGTGCGAAGGAGACGCAACGTAAAACGACGAGATCCAGAAACGCAGGCGCTATGAACGGAGGTAAGAGGAGGCGGGCGGCACCTGCACTTGGAAGAGTGGCGAGGGGAAGGTGCCAGCAACAGCACCGTCGCTCCACTTGGTGGTGGCCCTGCCTGTGCGCCACTTTTTGAACACAAGAGTGGACCCACTGCCACCCTCCTCGTCTCGCCCGCCCTTGCGGCCCGCGCCCATGAAGCTGAGCGCGGAGGCAAAACCGCGCGACACATTGGCGGCCACCGTGTCCTCCAGCTGGATCACACGCTGCTTCAGCACCGACTGTACGTGGGCGAAGGCGGGAGGACGGTGGGGAGGAGGGCGGAGGGGTGGCAGGAAAGGGTGCGGTAGCACACAGGGTTGCAATGGGTTGCAGGGACAGGATGAAAAGGGAGAATGAGGAGTGGAGGCGTCAGGTTGCGTAGCGCGTGGCCATACGGTGACGGCATGCGGCGGCAGCTAAACCAAATGGGCCACCGTTCAGGCAAGCGATGTGGCGTGTGAGCGTAGGGGAGGAGATTTTGAATCGACTCAAAAATCGCCTCATGACTTGTGGCGTGGTAGGGGAGGTGGCAGGGGATGGGTAGATGGAGGAGGTGGCGGGGTGGGCGGACCTGGAGCTGCACGGAGTTGATGACGCAGGTGGCGTTGCGTGTGATGGCGCAGAGCTCCTGAGTGCCATCGTTGCGCACCATGCCCGCCTCCACGCCCCGCACTCGCAGCCGCACCACCGCCTCCGTGTGTACCATCTGCTCTCCCTCCCACGTGCACGCGCACCACACAGTCGCAGCACAACAACACAGGTGAACGAGGGGAGACGATGGGGGTTGGGTGATACGAGGTCCCATGGCATGAAACGGAGAAGCACGAGGGTCACGCTTCCGCGCAGAGACGTCATGCTCGCATCATGCTGTGCGGTGTGTGGTGGCATGCGAGTGAAGGAAGCAGGGTGCGAGGTGAGGGGAGCGGCGCACCTGCTTGGCGAGCAGCACGCCTGTCTCTGAGTACACGAGCACGAACCCCAGCGCCGTGCCCACTGCCAGACACATGAAGGCGCCGGGCGGGCGGTTGGGCGAGGCCAAGGCGGCAGTGGTGCGGTGGTTGAAGGCGGAGAAGGTGATCCACTCCAGGGCTGTGATGGCGTCGTCGCTGTCACACGCCGGGCGCACACTCACTGGCTCCACTGGCCTGCCGTTGTCAAGCATGCACCGCGCACACACACCACACGACAGGGAGAAGGAGGCGAAGAGATAGTGTGTGGGGGGGGGGGAGGGGGGGTGGGCAGTAGGAGAGAAGAGGAGGCGGGGAACGCACAAATGAGGACGTTGAGAGAGACTGTTGGTGTGAAAACAGTGAGGAACAAGAGCTGGCAAGAATAACTGGCAGCCAAGTAGGAAAGCCAGGCAGGCGGAACACACACACGGGAAATCAGGAGCCCTGGTTCACCCCACGCACCTGCCATCGTGCGCGCCATGTCCGTCCGCAATGACGAGCGTGGTGCCCAGCGCCACTGCGATCAGCTCGCCATTCTCCGTCGCCGCCACGCGCACCTCCTCCTTCTCCAGCCAGCTCCCCATACTCAACCTCCCCCCCGACCCCTCCGCACCCCCCCCAACTGCGCAACCAATATCCCCGCCCTGGACCCCCCCTGCGCTGCTGCTGATAGCAGCCTCCCTCCCTTCCCCTGCCGCCCCGCCTTCCATCGCGCCTGCGCCGGTGCTGGCGGGTGTGCCGGAGGCGGAAGAGGCTTTGGGGAGCCAGAAGGGGAGCATGGCGTTGGGATCGGCGGAAGGGTGCGCGGGGCCGTTGAGGTGGCGCACAATAATTTCCGCGGACACACTGCCCCATGGGCGCACCACCGTGGGGCGCGCTGAGGACAGCAGAGATTGGACGCGCGGAGAGCACAGGATAGGGAGAGGAGAGAGCGAGGGGTATGGGAGAAGCGAAATGAAAGGAAATCTGACAATCGAGAACGGGAAGGATGATGTATGAGATTCGAAAAGAAACAGTGGCGGGAGGGAGACCCCACGCAGGAGAGAAAGGGGAACGAGGACACACGCGGAAGCGAACCGCGCATGAACCGACGGAGCACGCGGAAGGGACACCCGCAGAGGGGATTTACGAACGCGACACTGGGGAACAGGTCTAGCTAATATTCAAGTAAGAGAGCAGCGAGAGAATAGAGTTAGGGTCCAGCATGCCAGAGGTGCGCAGGTCCATACATTGGACCTGGCCTCCTTTCCGAAAGAGGCAATGTCGGCACGAACGTGACCTCGGCACATACTAGTCACCAACTTGTTCTGCGGAAATTCCCACGGCATCACCTGACTATCCATCGACCCCATATCAGCCACCCGTAAGTACTAGAAAGCGACACAAGCCTTTGAGCAAACTGGTGCACGCAAGAGATCGCAATCTGGACGATTAGCCAGACAAGTTTTGCAAGTGGTTCTACAGACTCACGCGCAACCGCGATAGAGGCGAGAGCTGTCGGAAAGCAAGGGCATTGCTGGTATCACTGACAGAGAGAGCCCGAGAGAAATGGAGAAATAGTCAGGTCCCTGGATGAATATATTCATTAGACGCACCTCGCCTCATGCTGGTCGACATTTGAGCGAGTGGCTATTGGCTCTGGTGAACTAGAGGAGTCCAATCTGCACGTGATGCATCGCTCCCTTCATCAAGGTGAGAAGATTTCACATACATTGGAAGTCTCTAATCTGAGGCCTGCTTCCAGTTGAAGTGGCCACAACGAACGGAAACATGTGCGGGACAAGTGTGCACCATGGACGGCAAGTTATGTGCAATTTACAATCGGTAGGCTGTGATCACGAGCGATTAAATCATTGACCTAATTATGTGCTCCCGCTGGAGACTAGATGAGGCAGCCCAAGGCACTCTCCATTTCACACAAGTTCGGGTCTGGTCTAGTGTTGTCGTTCCACGGGCAGGAGAAGAAGTGGCGAAAGCTGGGTAGAGACTTGATTGCAGTACCCCGTTAAACAGAGTGTAACATTCATAATACCCTGAACCCAATGGGAGTTTTGTGACCGCCCAACTCAGTGCTTGTCTATTTTCGAAACAACTCGGGTAGAGTTTCAACCCACAGAAAAACCTGACCGACATACCTGCACCTTCCAGATCTGCCAATTCGTCAGAAATTTGGTATCCTCTCCGCATCCTCCTGTGTTGCTGTCGCTCGAAGCTTTTCCGTGGGACAGGTGCACTTTCGTAGTGCTGACTTTATGGCATTTCACCAAGTGACTTGCATTGTTTAGCCCTCAGTCTATTGTAACCCGAAGTTAGCAATGTTTTTTAGATACTGGCTTTAAAATGCATACACAAGAGGCCTGCTCACTTGGTCTGGTACGACGCCTGCGTTTGGATGTGCGCTGGGCTAGCAGACAGCTCCTTCGTGGTCAGGGCCGAGGAGGACGTGGCATGAAGGAAGCACGTTGGGGCCTGGTTCGCCCGAGTGGGCCATCTTTGTTTGGTGGTATGGTAAGCCCGAACCGAGAACACTGGCGCTGTTCTGTAGGCGTTATTGCCTCAGCATTAAATGTACCAATGTAAGGAATTTTCTCTACATTCCTTACAACATCGCGTACAGCAGCAGCCATTGTTCGCCTCTTACTACTAACGGGGCTTCGCCAACTTCGCGCGCACTGTTTCACCAAACCATGCACCGCTGGCCCGGCCGTGTCGGCCTACGCTTCGGGACTAGCCCGAGCCTCGATGCCAGCCTAGCACTAGCTAGCTCGCATGCACCGCGTTACCGTTTGCATGTTTCGCGTATAAATGTTCGTTCATGCCTTCGCTCACATTTTGTACTCGTTTGACACCTTAGTGCAATTCTCACTACCTCGATTCATTGCACCGGTAACACTTGGTATTCACATGTCAAACATTATATATGTGTTATTGCTGTGTAGGCTATAGTGGGTTAGCTTTTAGGGGGTAAACAACTCTAGGGTTTCATACTTGTGCTCCAATGTTTCATAGTTCAATCACTTCTTGTTTCTGACATGGTATTAAGAGCTTAGGTCCTAGTCCTAGGACCGCTTACCTAAGGGCCCACCGCTAGAAGCGCCCTCGAGCGCCGTATCTATTTAGCACCCTCGAGCGCCTCTCTCCTAGTGCGCCCTCGTGCGCCTCTCTTCCTCCTGCTGCCCGTGCGCAGCTCGCTAGTGCCGCGCGCGGCCCTTTTTTTTTTTTAGTGCGCGTAGCCCGCTAGCAGCCAGCGCGCGTAGCCCGCTAGCAGCCAGCGCGCGGCCTTTTTCTGAGTGCGAGCCGACCCCTAGCCGCCCGCGCGACAGGCGCCGCCCACGAACAGCCTCTAGCCGCCCGTTGACCACCGCCCAGAGCGTCGCAGCCCCGCCCGTAGGCCGCCGCGACGCCACCTCTAGGCCGCCGCCCGCGCGATAGTCAGGCCCACGCACAGCTACGGCCCGCCCACTACAGCCGCCCACGCGCACACCCCCCGTCGCGCACCGCCGCGTAGCACAGCTCGAGCCGAGCCACGCCGCCCGAACCGAGCCGCGCCGCCCGAACCGAGCCGCGCCGCCCTGGCCGAGCCGCGCCGCCCTACTGTGCCCCACCTGCAGCAACTCCTGTTCCTGTTCTTGCCGTACTACTGCTTCAGCTGCAACTGTTACTGCTACTGCTACTACTGCTACTGTTCCTACTGCTGCTACTGCCACTATGGCCACTCCCTCTATTCTCACTTTTGACGCTGAGGGCCGCCCGATTAAGTTTAAGGTTTGGTTAGATGACCTCCACCTGTTCCTCCAGATCACTGCCAAGGACGATGTCTCCCTGTATGACCACACGTCAAGCGCCGCTCCCGCACCTCCCACTACTGGTGACAGTACTGCTCGCTCCCAGTGGCAGACCCGGGATGCTCACGCTCGCCTAGCCGTTCGCAGCCACCTGCCGTTAGATGAGCGCGAGCACTTCGGCCAGCATAAGACCGCTAAGGAGCTGTACGACGCAGTAGTCGCGCGCTACTCCTCCCCTGCCACTACTGCTATAGGCCGTCTCTCACTGCCCTACCTCTTCCCCGGCCTGTCCGCCTTTGCCACTGTAGCTGACCTCATCACCCACCTCCGTACCAGTGACCTCCGCTACCGTGCCACGCTCCCCCCCGATTTCCTCGCCAAGAACCCCCCCCCCCCCCCCCGATGTACCTCACACTGTACCACCTTGTCACCCGCCTCCCTGACTCCGTTCGCACTACCAGGGACCAGTTTCTCGCCCTCTCCCCCACTGACCTCACTGTCGACCTCCTCGAGAAGGAACTCCTAGCAGCTGAGAAGAGCATTGTAGCTGTAGGTGCCTCTCGTGGTGACCCCCGCACCTCCTTCTTTGAGGGGTGCTCCCCCTCCCCCCTCCTCCCCTCCATTGCATCTGCTGCTGCTGTCGACTACCTCGGAGCTGAGGGGGTCGGGGCCGCGTCTGCTCCTAGTGGGAGGCGCAAGGGCGGCAGGGGCAAGGGGGGTAGGGGTGGTGGAGGTGGAGGCGGGGACGGCGGCGGTGGAGGGGGTGGGGGAGGCGGGGGTGGTGGCGGAAGTGGGAGTGGCGCGGGTGGTGGGGGGGTCAGTGGTGGCACAGGGGGTGGTGGCGGCGGCGGCGGTGGTGGGGGTGGTGGGGGCGGTGGTGGCAGTGGTGGCGGCGGTGGAGCGGGTGGCGGGCGCGGTGGAATGGTGCAGCGTGGGGGGTTTGGCGGTGGCCAGAGGCAGCAGCAGCAGCGTCCCGGCGAGACTCCTCCGTGAGTGGTACTCTCAGCGTGGGGGGTCTGGGGGTGGAGGTACCTGCCCGTACGTCATCCGCACAGGTGACCGCACTGGCCAGACTTGTGGGAAGTTTCACACGGCGCAGCGCTGTTTCTTTCGCCTCGACGGCGCCTGGCGCGAGCAGTTCCCTGACGCCTCTGAGCTGCCCCGCTGGGCTGATCTGCTTAGGAAGGGGATTGATATCTTTGCTCTTGATTATGATGCTATCCTTGCTGCTATGCATGCATTGACTATTAGTGCTGAGGGTGACTGTTACCTGAGTGTACCGCCCGACCCGGGTATTAGGACCAGTGAGGCTGCAGCTCTAGGTGCTAGCGCGTCTACTGCTCTAGGTCCTGGTGAGACTGCTGCCCTAGGTGCTAGTGCGTCTACGTCTACTGGTACCGCACCTACTGAGGCACTGCACACCTTCACACTAGACTCGGGTGCTTCCCGCTGTTTCTTCCGCGACCGCACTGCCCTAGAGCAGCTCCCTAGACCGGTTGCTGTCTCCCTGGCCGACCCCTCAGGGGGTCCGGTCCTTGCGACCTCCACCACTGCCCTCCCTTGTCCTGCTGTCCCGTCTGGCACGCTGTCGGGCCTCTACCTCCCCTCGTTCTCTACGAACTTGGTGGCGGGTTCCGCGCTCCAGGACACAGGTGTTCACCAGTTCACCCCCGCCTACGAGCGTGTGACGCACTGCACGTGCGCCCGGACGGGTCGTCACCTGGCTACCTTCACTCGGCAGCCGGGGTCGGACTTGTACACACTGACCATAGAGTCCCCTCAGGTAGCTGCGTCTGCATCTGCGTCAGGTCAGCTGTCGGCCCCCTGCTCGTGTCGCTCCCTGTCGCATAGGACTGTCCTCTGGCACCACCGCCTTGGTCACCCGTCAATGCAGTGCCTTCACGGCATGCACTCCAGGTTCCTTGTCTTTGGTCTTCCCAGAGTTCTCCCTCCCCTACCACCCTCGCCTGCTCCTCCCTGTCTTCCCTGTGTCGAGGGGCGGCAACGTGCCGCTCCTCACTCCTCCTCGTTCCCTCCCACAGAGGCTCCCCTGCAGACTCTTCACCTGGACGTGTGGGGCCCCGCCCGCGTCCGGGGACAGGGCCACGAGCGGTACTTTCTGCTGGTCGTCGACGACTACACGCGCTACACCACGGTCTTCCCCTTGCGTACCAAGGGTGAGGTCCCTGATGTCTTGATCCCCTGGATCCGCGCTGCTCGTCTCCAGCTCCGCGAGCGGTTCCAATCGGACTTTCCTGTCCTACGTCTACACTCTGACAGAGGTGGCGAGTTTTCCTCTGACCTCTTGGCAGCCTACTGTGCGGAGCACGGCATCCGCCAGACGTTCACTCTCCTGGCCTCTCCGCAGCAGAATGGGGTTGCCGAGCGCCGCATTGGTCTTTTCATGGAGGTCGCTCGTACCTCCATGATCCATGCGGCTGCCCCCCATTTCCTGTGGCCGTTTGCAGTGCAGTACGCCGCGCATCAGCTCAAACTCTGGCCCCGTGTCTCCGTTCCGGAGACCTCGCCTACCCTGCGTTGGACGGGGGAGGTTGGCAACGCGTCGGTGTTCCGAGTCTGGGGATGTCGAGCCTTTGTCCGCGACACGTCCGCGGACAAACTCTCCTCCCATGCGGTTCCCTGTGTCTTCCTGGGCTTTGTCTCTGACGCGCCTGGCTGGCGGTTTTACCACCCCACCTCGCGCCGTCTCTTCGCCTCTCAGGACGTCACCTTTGACGAGTCGATACCCTTTTACCGTCTCTTCCCCTACCGCACTGCCCCGCTCCCCCCCCCGCCGCTCTTCCTCACCCTAGGTGTCCC